CTTGTTTCAGTTTTAAATATCCTTTAGAAAACAGAAAATATTAACATTTCTGTGAAAACATACAATACTATTCACATTTTGAATTTTGTGAAATATTATGAATATCTATAAATACTGTAAAATACTTTATTTTCGCTTGGAACTAATTTTCGCTGAATGGGTGATTCAGTGAAAATAAAATCTAGCGAATATACCTTTTTTCCAATATTTTACATTCAGCTCGTCAAAAATCAGTGAAAATAAATTCCATACAAAACACGCAAAAAGTCTTTTCAGCAAAAATTTATTCCACCTAAAATAAAGTATTTTACAGTATTGTAAATGATTACTCCCCAGAGTAATTAATTTACTATTCATAACTGTACACTACTGATAGCTATATTTATACCTAATGCAGCCACCACATTATATTCACCAACAACAACTGTGATAGACAGATAGGTCTTTGTTATTTAGAACAGAATCATCATTTATCAAACAACATGTAAATGTACATTCAAAGAGATAATGTAGTTCAGGCGCGGATACAGGATTTTTTTATCGGGGGGGGGGGGGGGGTTCAAATTTTAAAATCGCCAGACTAATCTAATAATTTTTTTATAGTAGACAAAAGCAAATTGGATAAATTTTTCAACGGGGGTGGGGGTGGGGTGGGGGTTAGACCCCCCAAAACTATCAAAGCTATCATCTGGCTTTGCCTTTTATGTAAAAACTTGCAATTTTTATCATTTTCATAAATTAATTTAAATTTATTTATTTGTTACTAATATAAGACATGTGGGATTTTACTATACATATATATTCTATTTTCGTAGATATGTCTCATCTAATATGAAATAAATGTAAGCAAATTTAGATTTTAAAAGCAGGCTAAGCAAATTTAACCCCAGCTAAAGTCTAACTAAGTGTTAAGTTAAGCTCAGACATCACTGTAAATGAGAATATGGACTGTGAAGTACTGTGAATTTATTTTCGATATTTATGTTTATGGATGAATCAGTAAAAAAAAAATCCAGTGAAAACACCTTTTTTTTTCTCTTTTACCTTCAACTCAACAAAATTCAGTAAAAATTAATGTCATACAAAACAACCAAAATGTCTTTGTTTTACAGTACTATGAATATATATCTAGACGAGAACATGTACTATAAATATGTTGTTAGATGAGAACATGTACTATAAATATGTTGTCAGATGAGAACATGTACTCTAAATATGTTGTTAGATGAGAACATGTACTATAAACATGTAGTTGAATAAGAACATGTACATACCGGTAAATATGTAGTTAGATAAGAACATGTACTATAAATATGTACTTAGATGAGAACATGTACTATAAATATGTACTTAGATGAGAACATGTACTATAAATATGTACTTAGATGAGAACATGTACTATAAATATGTACTTAGATTAAACATGTACTATAAATATGTAGTTAGATAAGAACATGTACTGTAAATATGTACTTAGATTAAACATGTACTATAAATATGTAGTTAGATGAGAACATGTACTGTAAATATGTACTTAGATTAAACATGTACTATAAATATGTAGTTAGATGAGAACATGTACTGTAAATATGTACTTAGATTAAACATGTACTATAAATATGTAGTTAGATGAGAACATGTACTATAAATATGTACTTAGATTAAACATGTACTATAAATATGTAGTTAGATGAGAACATGTACTATAAATATGTACCGGTACTTAGATTAAACATGTACTATAAATATGTAGTTAGATGAGAACATGTACTGTAAATATGTACTTAGATTAAACATGTACTATAAATATGTAGTTAGATGAGAACATGTACTGTAAATATGTACTTAGATTAAACATGTACTATAAATATGTAGTTAGATGAGAACATGTACTGTAAATATGTACTTAGATTAGAACTTGTACTATAGATAGTCAACAGTTAAATTATTAGCACAAAAACGAATCATCAAGTATAATATAACGCCATACTAGTATGATTCAGTGTATATTAAATGACGTCACGTTATATTGACCTTATGCAGCTATGCTGTCTTGGAAAGGAAAAACATGGCATGATGTTGAGTTGATAAAAACATACAAAGGCAATACACAGCTGCATTTTTTGCTGGAAGCCATGATTATTCTTGTAAAACTCCATACAGTATCAGTATGTATAGATAAGATACAATAAGATATTTCCTAATTACACCTTGAATATATTTGGTAAATAATACAGCTGTTTATATATCTCTAATACACATCCTCACAAAAGCAGCTACTCATCGCATAAACCATGATGTGAAATGTATTTTTGAATTCGTTTTGCTATCAGTCAAATATACATTGCATAAAAATTTAAGCAATATTTCAGGTGGATATTAACGTATTGTATTGAATAAGTACGTAAATGTAACTACAGCAATGTGCATATTTTCACATTTCAAGTCATTGTTTGCTTCAAGACATTATTTTACATAAGATGTTGTGAACACCAGGAAATTTTCACTGATGGAGATATTTCTGGTTATTTATTTGATCATCCTGCATTATATTCACTGATGTTTACGACGGAAATAATCAATTGCCCCAGGATAGTTTTTAGGGAACTTCCATTAGTGCTTATTACTATTATTACCATGAAGAAGTACTATTTATAGTATCCCCAGAGAAAATAATGTATAGACTTTAGCCAGGGTTTTTTGCCAAGCATATATCAACTTTTCCGAATTTCATGTTAATTATAAATGAAACCTCTTCACCAGGTTTAAAAAATCAAGTAATATCTTTTTTGATCTGTTGTCAATATGTGCATTTGATTTACAAATTGCATCTTTCTATCACTTTCAAGAAGCTGAATTTTATCTGTAAAGCTATTAGATGCAACAGACAATCACCAAGGTAACCACAAGAAATGATTCAATCTCATCATCGAGAATAGCTTTCACAGAGAAAAGGTAA